TCAATTAGCAGCCGTTATAAGCTGTTAACATCCACGTAGACACTTTTGTTTCTCCTGATGAACATTGAATTCACCCAAGTTCCTTTTCCGCTTCGTTTCCTTTTTCGTACGATTTGTTTTCTATTGTCGCATTTTTCTTTCTTTTTCCCTTTTCTTTGCGGAATTTTGTTCGTCCTTCAGGACGTCCATTAAATTTGGAACGATATACAGAAACTTCGCCTCACTTTTTGCTATCCACAGTGCACCCCTTTGTTTAGAACCACCCCTTTTTCGGACCTCCCCACGCCCCACCTCTTTCCCTTCTACCGGACGACACAACTTTCCCTTTCCCACAAATCAGCCCTATGTCCATTCCTCTTCATCTGCCACCAGTCCCTCCTCCGAAACACAACAGCATGGAACAAAAAGCGTAGATTCGCTCCGTAACCTTTATTTACAGCCACCATGAAATACATGTCTGACAGCCAATCACAACCACAAAGAGACTATGCCAAGAAAAATAAGGTACAGCAAAGCAGACTGTGGTCCAATCCACACAAAATGTGCCATCTGTTTAAAGCTTAACTACGCAACAACAAGGGACCAGACGACATCATGTTGTCATCAAGGAAGGAGACAAGAAGAAAAGAAGATCATAAGACCAGAGAACGAGAGGAAAAGAGGACAAGAAGAAGAGAAGAAGAGAAGACGAGAAGAGAAAAAGACCAGAAGAAAAAAAGACCAGAAGACCAGAAGAAGAGCAGAGGACAAGAAGACCAGATGACAAGAAAGCAGACTGTGGTCCAATCCACACACAATGTGCCATTTGTTTAAAGCTTAACTACGCAACAACAAGGGACTGGACGACATCATGTTGTCATCAAGGAAGGAGACAAGAAGAAAAGAAGATGATAAGACCACAGAACGAGACGACAAGAGGACAAGAAGAAGAGAAGAAGAGAAGACGAGAAGACGAGAAGACGAGAAGACGAGAAGACGAGAAGAGAAAAAGACAAGAAGAAAAAAAGGACCAGAAGACTAGAAGAAGAGCAGAGGACAAGAAGACCAGAAGATCATACGACAAAGAGATGAGACGATGAAAAGCTGCCACGGAGCACGAGAGGAGACCTGTAGACCTCTTAGAACTGAACAACAGTTCCTGGGGCACCCACGGAAAAAGCAGCCAGAATCTTCCACAACTGACAATATGGACTTAATTCACATACCTGGTACTTTGTGAGGAATCGGGCCTTCTGGTCTGGAGTGATTTCATGTCGCCCATGGAACTGGCACACACAAAATGACATCAATGAGAGGCTGTGTTCAAAAACGCTTTCAAAGGCATCTGCTATCTTGATCACTGCAGCAAGGAATCCAACTACCATGAAAGCACTGCAAGTGAGACATAAAACAAAAAAAGAGGAGGACAACACTGCAAGTGACACTGTGGCATGCACAGGCCTCCCACACAGGTCCCCGGGGAGGACGGTGGACCTGATTCTGAGCGCCCCTATGGCCGTGCACTCCATTTTTGGGCAAGCATAAGGTCACAGTACATTTTTTGGCGCTTGGTTCATTTTTTAAGGCAGTGTGAGCTTTTTTTTTGCTTCCCCCCCCCCCCCCCCCGAAACACTCAAGGCCCCTTCTATTCTGGAGGGCATCACTCTGTTTGCTTATTACCGGCAAGCATGAGCGTACGAAAGGAGAGAATAAAGAGAAAGATTCAGCCTTACCCTCGCAGCACTAGTCGCCTATACAAGGGGGAGGTTGCCCCGAGGCATCCCCCCCCAAAAAAACCATCCCCTTTCTTTGAGGAGACTCCTGCCGGCCAGGAGGCTTACTACCGTCTTCACCCGAATAAAACGCCCGGTCATTATAGCCGTACCTGGACTGAAAATTGCACCAGATACGGCTATAATGACCGGGCGTTCTATTCGGGTGAAGACGGTAGCAGCACCCAGTCACCCAGCAGAAGGGTCCCAAGAACGGCGGGGAGTCGGGGGGTCCGTTTCTGGCAATTTCGCAAACTGTATGTCTGAAAACCCTGTTTTCCAGGCCACGTGTCCCAGAGCCCTAAACCTTTGCAATGCATACCCTTCTTCCTTTGTATCCCTTTGTTACCTGTTCCTTGCCCCAACCTAACTTACCTCTCACACTCCCAATTCCATTTCACCCCATTTGACTCCATGACCGCTTACTATAGTTGCGGTGCATTGAGGTGCGCGCCTCAGCGCACGTCTGGCGCACCTTGCGCAACGCACTGTGCCCCACACCCAACGCGGCGCAAAAAAAAAAAAAAAGATGAAAAAAAAAAAAAAAGGAAGAAAGGATCCGCCCAAAAAAAAAAGAAGTGCAAGGGATCACGGAACACCCTGCCTCGTGGATATAATTATGCTAAACCCCTTTCTGAAAAAGAGAAGGAAAGTGAGCTTAAGGTCTCTCTCTCTCTCTCTCTCTCTCTCTCTCTCTCTCTCTCTCTCTCTCTCTCTCTCTCTCTCTCTCTCTCTCTCTCTCTCTCTCT